TAAAACTGCATTATATGTTTTAGGAAGGCAACATTTATCGTGATTTTATTGATTAAAGAACCAGATTTATTTTTTAAATGTGCTAGTTACAAACTGATAAATTTTGGCAGAAAATCAAGGCTATAGGCTTTGCAAAATGAGCGATTTTCCATGGGAAATTTTTACGTCAAAATCCTTGCTAAAACTGCATTATATGTTTTAGGGAGGCAACATTTATCGTGATTTTATTGATTAAAGAACCAGATTTATTTTTAAAATGTGCTAGTTACAAACTGATAAATTTTGGCAGAAAATCAAGGCTATAGGCTTTGCAAAATGAGCGATTTTCCATGGGAAATTTTTACGTCAAAATCCTTGCTAAAACTGCATTATAAGTTTTAGGGAGGCAACATTTATCGTGATTTTATTGATTAAAGAACCAGATTTATTTGTAAAATGTGCTAGTTACAAACTGATAAATTTTGGCAGAAAATCAAGGCTATAGGCTTTGCAAAATGAGCGATTTTCCATGGGAAATTTTTACGTCAAAATCCTTGCTAAAACTGCATTATATGTTTTAGGAAGGCAACCTTTATCGTGATTTTATTGATTAAAGAACCAGATTTCTTTTTTAAATGTGCTAGTTACAAACTGATAAATTTTGGCAGAAAATCAAGGCTATAGGCTTTGCAAAATGAGCGATTTTCCATGGGAAATTTTTACGTCAAAATCCTTGCTAAAACTGCATTATATGTTTTAGGGAGGCAACATTTATCGTGATTTTATTGATTAAAGAACCAGATTTATTTTTAAAATGTGCTAGTTACAAACTGATAAATTTTGCCAAAAAATCAAGGCTATAGGCTTTGCAAAATGAGCGATTTTCCATGGGAAATTTTTACGTCAAAATCCTTGCTAAAACTGCATTTGTTCTAGAGAGGCAACATTTATCAGGAATTTATTCATTAAAGAACCTGATTTATTTGTGAAATGTTCTAGTTTCAAACTGATAGATTTTGGCAAAAAATCAAGGTTATAGGCTTTGCAAAATGAGCAATTTTCCATGGGAAATTTTTACGACAAAACTCTTGCTAAAACTGCATATATTTTAGAGAGGCAACATTTATCAGGAATTTATTGATTAAAAAACCTGATTGATTTGTAAAACGTGCTAGTTACAAACTGATAAATTTTGGCAGAAAATCAAGGCTATAGGCTTTGCAAAATGAGCGATTTTCCATGGGAAATTTTTACGTCAAATCCTTGCTAAAACTGCATATGTTCTAGAGAGGCAAAATTTATCGTAATTTTATTGATTAAAGAACCAGATTTATTTGTAAAATGTGCTAGTTACAAACTGATAAATTTTGGCAGAAAATCAAGGCTATAGGCTTTGCAAAATGAGCGATTTTCCATGGGAAATTTTTACGTCAAAATCCTTGCTAAAATTGCATTATATGTTTTAGGGAGGCAACATTTATCTTGATTTTATTGATTAAAGAACCAGATTTATTTTTAAAATGTGCTAGTTACAAACTGATAAATTTTGGCAGAAAATCAAGGCTATAGGCTTTGCAAAATGAGCGATTTTCCATGGAAAATTTTTACGTCAAAACTCTTGCTAAAACTGCATATATTTTAGAGAGGCAACATTTATCGTGAGTTTATTGATTAAAAATCCTGATTTATTTGTGAAATGTTCTAGTTTCAAACTGATAAATTTTGGCAGAAAATCAAGGCTATAGGCTTTGCAAAATGATCGATTTTCCATGGGAAATTTTACGTCAAATCCTTGCTAAAACTGCATATGTTCTAGAGAGGCAACATTTATCGGGAATTTATTGATTAAAGAACCTGATTTATTTGTGAAATGTTCTAGTTTCAAACTGATAGATTTTGGCAAAAAATCAAGGCTATAGGCTTTGCAAAATGGCAATTTTCCATGGGAAATATTTACTTAAAAATCCTTGCTAAAACTGCATATGTTTTAGAACGGCAACATTTATCCTGAATTTATTGATTAAAGAACCTGATTTATTTTTAAAATGTACTATTTTCAATTTAATAAATTTCGGCAAGAAATCAATGCTATTGGTTTTAGTAGCTTCCCCCCCAACACACACCCCAAAACTCCCAACCCCCCCTAAGCCCTCCTCCCACCCCCTCCCCACTCTTTGCTAAAAATGCCAGATATTAAGTAATAAACTACCAGTAAAGGCTCTTTTTATACGGTTTCAGCCCCCCCCCCCAACTTTTTTAGACCCCCCACTTTTCTCAACCCTCCGCGGTGCCTGTATTGACTTGCATTTAGTAACTAAAGAACCTGAATTACTTCAGAAAATTGCCATTTTGAAACACGTTATTTTTGGCAAAAAAGCAAAGCAAAGAAAAACTTTGCTTTAGAATTTTATTTAAAGGAGCAACTAGTAACTTGCATTTAGGGACTAAAGTAGCATGAGATCAGAGGCTAGGACTAAAAAAGATTTAGGGACAATAGACTTTGTAAATTGAGCCATTTCCCATGGGTCCTTTTAGCTAGCAAATACAGTTTGAGAGTTGTTCCTTGAGACAATTCCCCTTGGCTTCGTCTCAGTACTGCACTCTAATTTATTTTATCATGGAAACAAGTGTTTCAAATTTGTAAAGTTTCAATTACAGTTTTTTAAATTAATAAATCAACAATTTCGCTAAAAGCAGGTAATCTTTCTATTTGATTTGAAACAATGTCTAATAAGATAGTCTTTTTTCTCAAAGAGGGATAAAATTCGAGAGCTTTTTAGCAAAATTAACGGATCATCTACGTTACGTTGTACCTATAATGCAATATATTTGCAACATCTCTGGTTGTCCCAGACCTAATACCTGAGGTTGTACTTTTCAACTCTTACCTGTAAACATAGCAATTGCCAGCAAAATTTCAAATAAAGCCATCCTGGGTATCGTTTGCCAGCAATTTAATAATTGCTTCCATGTCCCCATTGTTTGTACACTCTTCTGTGTTATTTACAAATCACTCGCGTTCCATCAGCTAATTCTTGGTTCCCTTTTACTTCCGCTTAGCAAATCACGAGCCCACTAAAAAAATTCTAGCAGTGCCATTCAAGTCACTGCATGTTTCAGGCACATCCGTAGTGACTCGAGGGGGTGGGGGGGGGGCAGGAAAGTAGAATAATGTAGGTAGTATATAACTTCATATCCCCAATTGCAGCACTTGGCTTACAAAAGTTTGTTAATGCCAGAAAAAGGCAATAAACCTTACAGCGGTATCCAGGCAACGGTGCCGTGGAGGGGGAAGCTTGGCTTGGATGGGGCGCTCAGCCCCTATGTTAAGATTCAGAGAGATTCTGGGGGGATTCACTTTCAACAAGTGAACAAATATTTGTTTGGACGAATTCTGGGTTAGAAAACCTTAATTTTCTGTGAATGAGCAATTCGGGCCGCCCCTTGCCCCCATAATTTCCGCCACTGAGTTGTGAGTTTCTACGATTTAAAATACACAACAGAAAATTTTTCACACAAATCCAAGTATACTGTATTGGGTGTAGTCATTGCTGTGACAACTGAAGTTGCTTGCTGCAAAGCCCCACCCTACCCACGCCACCCCTCTTCCGTACTTTTTAGGATGGCACCCCTGTATCCAGGGTAGGCAGGTAATTGACTGTCCTTTTAATTGTTTTGGTCAAGAGGTTACCCGCAGCGTTTAAATTGAATAAATTGGATAGTAATAAAAACGGTACGAAAAAGCCCGCTATGCGAGCAGCCGAAAAGTGCAAGGACACCGGAGCATAGGGGTGCTAAGGGGCGGTTGCCCCTCTTGCCATCGAAAAATTTAGCTATATTTTCTCTACTATGCTTTGCTATTGTTTGCCCTCTTTCTTGGCGCTTTGTACCCCTTCCCGAGTGGCGCTGATAGTTAACAAAGAAGAATTTAGAGTCGGTAATAATCTCATTTAGTTAGTAAAATGATATTTATGTTTGGCAACCGACGTTGCTAAAACGAGGAACAAGCGGAACAACCCAGTAACAAGAGGAACAACCCAGTAACAACCCAGTAACAAGCGGAACAACCAAGGAACAAGCAGAACAACCCAGAAACAAGCGGAAATGTGAATTATTGTTTAGTAAATACCACATGGGGGCGTTTATAATCCAACTCTCTGAAGTTCGTGTGGGCTAGAACTATCAAGAGGCCGTCAATCATGTCTTCGTCTGTTTCGGAGGCTTTGTGATTTTGCCAACGGACAGAGAGAATCTATCGACCCCGGATCGGGACGAAAAATAAATAGTAAAGCATGCGTATACATTCGATCACAACAGACACACTGTTGCAAATAGATGTGCATGCCATAGTGTAAATCTGTACATGTAGCCCTGTTGCAATCACATTTTTCAGGCCCGTCGGAGCCGGGGGGCTGGGGGGGGGTTTCTGAAGCCCCACCAATAATTGTCTTACTGTAGTATGTTTCCTTTATAACAATGTACTGCATGGGAAGGAATACAATGGGCAGCCTCTTACAACTTATAATTTGGATTAAAGAAGAGGTTAACTTTCCGCCTCAATAAAAATGATTCTAGGCAAACCATCAGTTTCCTGGTTCCTGGATTTTCCGACTTTTATCCCACAACAGGGCATGATTTTTCTTGTAGGCACATCAATGTCATTTTTCTCCCCAGGCGATTGAATGGCGCAATATCGTGAAATTTTGATGGTAGGGTGACAAACACGCAACCGATGTTTGGCGTTTCCATCATCATCATCATAAAAAAATTTATTTATCTAAATAAAATTAGTTGAAGAGCCATAATACACTCTAAATACAATCATATCTAAGTACACAAAATATAACGACATCAGAACTGAAATAAATAAATATTTTGACATATTCAGATATTCTTTTTTTCATTTAGCTTTAAATTCCTTCCTATAAAACATGGCAAGTAGATAAACATAGAAAATTTCCAGAAGACCAGAGGTTTTCCGACAAAATAGGAGTCTAGCTCGAGGGGCAAATCACTCCAAGAAAATCTTGTACACCTTTTATAAAAATCCTATTGCTTTATCTGAAAATCCCTAGAAATCCTTTTGTTTTGGTAAAATCTTGTACGCAATTTTCAAGAGTGAATTGCCCCTCGGTCTAGCTCTACAGGGTTTTGTTGCCCCCCTCTGATTCCCTCTATCTTAGCCACTGCCGCCAGAGCAGTTTACCCAGCATAGCTATTTTAGCAACCAAAATAGCCACCAGAGCAGCCACCATTTTCAAAAAATTTCTGGGGGAGCATTCCCCATACCCCTTTAGGCATGCTTTACTATTTATTTTTCGTCCCGATCCGGGTCGATAGATTCTCTCTGTCCGTTGGCAAAATCACAAAGCTTCCGAAACTGATGAAGACATGATTGACGGCCTCTTGATAGTTCTAGCCCACACAAACTTCAGAGAGTTGGATTATAAACGCCCCCATGTGGTATTTACTAAACAATTAATTCACATTTCCGCTTGTTACTGGGTTGTTCTGCTTGTTCCTTGGTTGTTCCGCTTGTTACTGGGTTGTTACTGGGTTGTTCCGCTTGTTACTAGGTTGTTCCGCTTGTTCCTCGTTTTAGCAACGTCGGTTTGGCAACGGTAGGGGGTTGAGTTTTGAAGATTTGAGGGAAAATTTATTAAAGGACAAGTGACACACTTTTCACCCTATCGTTTCTTTTCATTAACTTATAGATCATCTTTTAGAAGTAAGTTTTTCCTGGTTTGGAACAAAAAATTCTAATCAGGGGGCGCAGGGGGCGCGATTTTGCTTTGTATCACGTGACCCTATGACGTACATTGTGATAACTCAGAATTTTCCTGTAATTGATAGAGAGTTTACGAAACACCACGCGACAGGTCCAGACGCACTGTATTCGTTTACAAGCGTGTTGTAAACGTTAATATTGCACTCTATACCAGTAGCAGCAATAACAAATTATCACAATCTACGTCACGGTGTCACGTGATTCATTTCCCGCCATAATTTCAAATGGGTTTTTAAGTGGGAAAATGAAATCAGAAAGGAAAAATATTTCAACAACACTCTCATACAGCATTATACTTTAAGTTAAAAGAAAAAAAAAATTTGGCGCCAAAAGCGTGTCACTTGTCCTTTAAGAAAGGCCTAAATGCTTTTTTATATGACAAGCTTGAATCGTTCCTGTTTCTTTTTAAAATTGTGGTTTAAACAAATGTCAAAACAATTTCGATAAGATATGGCTCGAGTTTCTTTAGTAATTTATTCCACAGGGTCGTAGCGGCCATGGGGTCTAGGGGCCGTGGCGCTCCAATTATCTATAGCTTATAGCGTATAATTTTGAAATATCACGTGTATTTTTGTAATATAAATTTTGATAAAATTATCGATATTATTCTGAGAGCTTAAAAAGGGGGAGACCTACCAAAAATCTATCCCAAGAGATCTCTACTTCCCCCCAAATTCCTTTTTCATTACAGCCTTGTTCTAAGAAGAGCGAAAAAAATCCAATGAATTTAAGTGCACGAATCAAAAACTTTTATTTTTCAAAATTTTTTAATTCGGATCGGGAATGACTATCATGGTTGACAAAATTCGTTAAAGATTAAAAATAACTAAACCTGGCATTTCAGCCAAATTCCCACACATACATATACATAGCAATTCATAATGATTCATAAGGCATTTTAGTAACAGAATTTTCGCTTATGCTTTCCAAATCTAAGGTAAAGCGTAACACATTGCTACAAATTTCATTTATTTATGAAAGCAAACCAAATCCCCGAACCAGGTGGGGCTTAGCCAATTGTATATTTATCGAAATGGATACAAGACTATCACTTCTCTCTAGAGTACAACTGTCAAGCAATTATAAATCTTGTAAACTTCGTGCAAATCGATCTTATTAGAAAATCGTCTAATCATTAAATTATCCACGAACAATTCAGGAAATGATATTCCTTATATAAACAGGGCTACTTTATAAACAGTATAAAACTTTTTATCCCTAGTTCCAACGCTTGATTCAAAAGAGTTTTTTAACAACAGAAAAAGGCATGCAACCCTACCATTTAAATTATAACAGTATAATTGATCGTGTTTTAGCGTTTCACCAACGACGAAATTTGATGTTGTGTGCCATGTCAGCACAGAAAGATTACTCGAGGCGTTCAAGAAATCATTAGTGTCCAGGCTCTCGCTTGGGAACGTCATAAAAATTGGACAGCGCAGCATTTTCGCTACAAAAAATGTGGAGAAGTGCAATATAAGAAAGAGAAATCGAGAGACTGCAGAATGGATGTTTTCTGGTGGAAGCAGAAAAATGGCAAAATATTACATAAGACGTAATATGATACGATATTACATAAGGACGTAATATAATACGATATTACATAACTGTATACAACATATAAATAAAATGTTAATTTTAATACTTTTAAGATTAAAATTAATGTATTTGCTGAGCAGGATACCTTTTCATATCTCTTTGCAAATGATTGTAAACGTCATTTTGAAATTTTCTGGAAATATAAAGATATGATATGTCAAAAAAACAATTTGAAGGCAGGTCACTTTAGAAACAATGAAAAAAAAATTTATATTAGATTCAGAGCTATAAATTAGGAAAACATTAAGGGGACATTAAAGGATCACCGTCACTTGAGGAAGGGTTCTCCAGAGAAAACTTTTGGCTGTACTATAGCATTTTCTACTCAAAGTAACAAGGATGTATTTTCTTAAGCCAGTCAGAGTGTTTGTTTACATTTTACAGAAAACGAGCAAAAGAAAATAGAAAAATTTGATGAAATAACATTGAATCAGAAACCCCCACTTTTCCTATACAAAGCTAATGATAACCCCTCTCTGAAATTTTGACGTTGAGTGCAAAATCTTCAAAAAATTAGATAGAAAAGGGGTGAAACTAAAACTTTTTCGCATTAATTTTAGAAACATTGTCATGAGTAAGATAAATGCGTAGAAATGTTTGTGAATTTTTATCTAAATTGATTCAGCCAATCTAGGTTGTAACTTGGGAAAACTGCATCATTTGTTTTTTCTACAAAAACATTGCTAGCTTATAATTTAAGCTGGACAATATCACATTCATTTTGCTATTGCATGTAGCTTATTAAAAACACCCTTTGATTCCATCATCGTGAGTGCAGAAAGATCTTTAAACATTAAGGCTTACCAGAACCCACAAATGCACATAGATACAAAAATACATACCTAGCATGTAAGTCTTAAATGCATTGTCATTGTGGTAAAACGAAGAATAATTTGGATACAATTCGAAACGCAAATTATGATTACCTTCCGTTACCATTTTGAAGATTACTGTAGGTGGAAGACTCTTCATCTGTTGCCTTCACATTACTGAAATGACAATGAGATTTTTACAACGCTGATAAAAGCAATCAGCTATTTCAAAGATGCTGTCATGTAGACAAACGAAGACAGCATGTCAAGAATATAACAATTTTGTTTTTGTCATACAAAATACAATGTTGTCTGTCATTTTTTAAAATATCCGAATCAGT